AGGCTTAGGTGATTCTCTTGCCTCAGCCTCCCAAGTAGCTGGGACTACAGGCGCCCACCACAACAATGCCCAACTATTTTTTTTGTTGCAGTTCGGCCAGGGCTGGGTTTGAACCCGCCACTCTTGGTATATGGGGCCAGCGCCCTACTCACTGAGCCACAGGCGCCACCCTAATTGCCACATTTGTTTAACTATTTGTTTATACAGGGCTATGTCTACTAACATGTTCCAAAAATTCCTAAAAATAAATTTATGTCTTATTCTCTTAAGAATACTTTCTTGAAAGAATTATTATTTTTTTGAATTTATTAATAGTTTATTTATCACTCATATTCATAGCTCAGGAACACAAGTCAGTGACAAATGTCTATGTAAATCAGCCCAAAGAAATTCTTTATATTTCAAAATTATTTTAATGCTCTGAAAGACACCAGCCTTCCTTATCTCCTCAAAATCTTTCAGAGAATCATAATTTCTGTAGAAATCTGCATATGCCTTCTTTCTTGGTTCAGCCACAGCAAACTTTCAGAAAACTGCAACCCCCAGGGATATAACAAATGCTCCAACAATATGAATCCACAGGCACCTGGCCAAGAGGCCACGCATCTGAGGTTTGGCGAAAGCACTGGAAGCCATGGTAGTTACTGTCCTTGATGAATTGCCAACCTCAACGCGTCCTTCCCGACTGAGGTACACACAACTGAAGAATTTTATTAATGTAATTATTTCTTAGAATATTATTGTTGCACGTATAAAGAACATTTCTAGTCATACTGGCTCCAGCATTTAAGTTTTTTGTAGATGCAACGTATATTAGTACACTGTAATCTTTTTACCAATTCATTTGGGTCTAAGTATGATCATTTACTACTAAATGTATATGCACACAATGTATATTTGTTACACAGACAATTAAACTCCAAAATTTGTTTAATGTTATCATGTACATCTTTCATATAGCTCTACATGGGAATGTCTTAACACTAACCTTCAAGAAGGCAGAGACAAATTTATCTGATTTTGAACAAGAACCTTCAAAAAAGCCTTCGATCTATAAACGTCTAATGATGCTGTTGATAACATATTTACAGACTGTTTGGGCTATCGGTGGTTACATAATTAAAATAACTTCTTTCAGAAGAAAAACTAAAGTCTAAAACAGTTAAATGACTTCACAAAAATCATGCAACAGTGGCCAGAGCCAGGTCCTCATGTTCAGAATACCACAACATTGCTTCTTGAGAAATTAGCTCAATTTAACAACTTCCACCGTAAGTAGAAAGTCAGAAATATAAATGTGTTATAACTCCTGTCATTAAGAAGCTTGGTGACTTTCGGGAAAGAAAACACACAAAAAAACTTAAGGACACAATACAACATTACTAAAGAAAATAGGATGAAATTTATAATACAGACTTTAAAAGCGATGGATAAGAAGAGGAAGAATCTGACATGAGCCTTAAAAAGGCCAGCAAGAGTTAGGAGAAGAAAGGGGAAGCAATTTGGTGAACAAAGAGGAGACAGAATGAACCAAAGCAAGAATGAATTAAATAAATATGAGAAAATAATATAGAAATCATTATTTTTTAACTAGGGGAAAACCCCCACATTTCACTTCAACAGACAAAATTCTTTCCCTAAGCCATCTAAAAGGGGACAGGAAGGATACTTAGGGAATTTAAGTATTCATAATCAAACCCTCAGCAGGAAGCCTAGACATAAAATTACAAGATTAAATAACACTGAATTTTCTGAATCCTGACAAATTAGTAGAAGATGGTAGACAAACTTCTGAATCCAAAGATTTATGACCACACTGAGCCTACTCCTGTTTTGTCATCTTGTTATACCAATGTATTTATTGTCTCCCATGGCCAAGACACTCTTTTCAGTGACCAGACATTTCCTTCAAATATCCTGGGATGAAGTCAAAATAGAACATTCACTAAGGTTCCACAAAAAATTATGCTTAATAAACCAGGCCAAAAAAATGTGAGGCAGAAAAGCTGTGTATAAAAATTCAGATGCTCCATGTTAACAGTAGCCCAGAGCCTGCCTCTATGGAAACCAAACATTGTTCTAAACCAAGTAATCATTGGTTTGTATTTCTAGTTGTGTTCCTAAGTCTTGCTTTTATTTTGACAGCAGCAACAGAAAACCTGCTACATACCACTAAAGCTGCCTGGCTCATACTTCTAATTCATTTCAAGACAGCAAGGTGGATCAAAATCATAACTTATGCTGTAACAATTGTACTCTGAACTCGTACTTTAACTCCTATATTTAAGTAAATACTACCATCTGCTTAAGCAATAAGGAAATCCATCTCCACCTACAAGTGTGGTAATTCCTGTCATACCTGTCTATCTGGTGTGGGGGCTTCCCTAGGAATCACTCACCTGTACAGATCTGAATGTAGTAATGAAAGGCAACATGATATGATAGCCTGGTCCACTGGGGCTAGTTAGTAAAGCTCCGCCTCTGCAAAAAGATGTTTCAATTTGACAAAGTTATAAAGAGAAAAATTATCTTTCCAAATCTAAAATGCTCTAATACTCTTACTTATGCTACTGACCTACTAAATCCACACTAATAAGAATTACTCATAATGAACAACTGCTTAAAATGCCTACCATACCTAAAAAGGTGGAAAGAGCAAATTAAACTATTGATGTTGCACCTTGTTTCATAAGCTTGACCAACCATACCTCTGGGTCTCCAGCACTGCTCTGAAGTTCAAAGGATTCTCTTTGGTATTTAACCTTCTGAGGAATATTTGTTTGAATATTTGGGGTGCTTTAATTGGCTAATGGCTCTCAGTTGGGGTGCTTTAATTGTACATAACAAGAGCAAAATACATTTAATCACCAGGTTAAAAAAAAAAGACAACACAAACTTTCAAGGAAGGAAAAAATTTCTGAGACTTGTGGTTCTTTTAATCTATGTGCAAGGCAATTAAAATACTGGGAACATAAAGTTTCTGTATAAAAACAAAAAATTAGCATGGAAACATGAAAGGTGAGAGGATTAAGACTATAAATAGATATGAATTTCATGTTCACTAAATCTTAGAATGTGAGAATTATAAAAGTAAGCCTAGAAACTGTAAAATAGAGACATTTGGGGAACAAATATAAGAAGTCCTATTTTACATAGTAAATAGTAAATTTATCATAGAAATTAGCTTCCTGTCCTGAAAATATAAAAAGGTTTGCAAAAATGTCAGAGTAACTAAGAAAAGAGGAACGGTTTCAGGTTTATCACTGATTCTTTGAGGGGCATACCTTGAAATGTCCTTTCCTTGGTTTTAATATCAGAAAGAATGCTCAACAGGACAGAAATCTGGAAATTTGTCATTTCTCATGCTAGAGTTCCATCTGTTAAAATATGCCACTAAAAGTGTACTTTTCTAAGATTCAGGATGGTTCTAAAAGTAGAAATATCAGTTCTGAAGGATGGAAACAGGCAAAAAGTTGAAGCTCTCTGTAAATATACCACCATCCTAATTATGCCACAAATTGGCCTCTCTCCTACTAATTTACCTCAAAAGGAACTGGTGGTAATTATGCTGAAGGAAAAGCTATGCTATCTCAATACCTTCCATATCATTCCACTCCTTCACTTGAAAAGAAACGGTAAGGAAGGAGGAAGATAATTCACCAATATTGTGTTTATGTCCCTAGAAGGTCCAGGGATATAACCGTCATGGTCATCATGGTGTTACAAGACATAACCGGACACTGAGTGTTTTTCAAATGAAGTAATCGAAAGAACATACGCAGGACCACATTTTCTAAATAGCATCTATAGCAGCAAACTAAAAGCCTGTACGGTGTGTGTACTATAAATAATTTATCTATCTCTTCAGTTACAGGTAGAGCGACTACTTCCTTTGTCGCTTCCTCATTTTTCTACTGAGTTTGCTGTACATAAGGAATAGTTGTAAGGAGTTTTAACCTCTGCACAGAAGGAATATAGCACTAAAACTATCCAAAACTTGGACGGTGCTCCACAAAAGCCTGCTTCGACCCCCATGCTTTCCCTAGCGATGGGACGTGTGTCCCTGGACGCTGCAGAAGAAATAACTTTCCAGACTCCATTCTAATTGGAGAACCCTTCTCATCTGCTAGAGAGCCTGGAGCTGACTGCACTTGCAGCTCACCTGTAGTACACAGCCAGGTGCCCTTCCTCGATCTTGTGGATGGAGGCGTAGAGCAGGACAACCACCAGCCCCACCACTGCAGTCACCAGAACCCGGGCTTGAGTCATATTCATCCTTGTTCCTTCTGGGTGAGGGAGGGAAGGACCCCTCAGTCCCGGGAATGAAAGGTCCACCCCCTCCAGTTTCCACCCTCTCCCCTCAGACACTTGGCGCCCACTCGGAGGCTGACCCGGGCAGTCCCGTACCCCTTTCCCCTCATTCTTCCCTTCTCGCAGACCCGGCTTTCCCACGCCAACTCCTCCGCCCCAGACGGCCCGTGAGCCGCCCCTGCACGGTGAGCTTCGTGACACCCCCGTCTCCTAGTGTCTGCTCCCCGGCGTAAGACACTAACAGAGAAGGGGGCCAGCCGAAGGTTCGGGAGGGAAGCCGACCCCTCCGTAGCGCCTCACCTATCAGTGACGCATCGCCCCCGCCCGCACGTGCAGCCGCCTCCCGGGCCGAGCCAACCGCCGCCAACAGCCGGCCCCGCCCACTCGCCCAGCATTGCGGCTGCGCGGTGACGCACACCGACGCAGCGCCCCCAACGCGCTGGTGAGACGGGGAGCGGACGGGACAAAATTCTTTCAGCAGTCGGGCTGTGCACTCTCCTTCGAAGGTACCGGGCTGTTCTATGCCGTGTTGGTTTAGCTGCTCAGGAAGAGAGGTACAGTCGGTCGTTTGGAGTAATCCAGGAAGCAGAGAAAAGGGGAGGACATCTCAGACAAGGGACTGGTCAGTTTGTTCTTAGGCGTGGAACCCACTCCCTCACTCAGTGGTAACGGCTCTATTTGTCCTATTCTGGTTTAAATCGAAGCCTCCAGTGTGGCAAGCGCATGCTCCAGGCAGATCCTGCACTACAGGAGCAACCAGACTCGTCGCAAGTAGAGTGCTGTGGAAGTTCAGAAGAGGAAGATGTAATTGCACCACTCACTCATCAAGTTTTGGTTTTGGTTTTGGGGAGGTACTTACTATTTGCCAAAGTGATCAATGAGGGATTTATGAAGGCCATCCAGACAATAGGGTGAGAATAGTCCAAGCTCGGCAGCATGTAAGTGTGTGTGTTGGCTGGGTGGAGTGGGGGCGATCTTCCAGGGAGAATAACGGGAACTGTAAGCGCTTGGGTTTCTTTGAAGGCTTCCGTGATGGAAAGGAGCGATATGGCAGATTACGTGGTTAGGACCACATTTTGAAAGTCTGGAATAAACTTTCTCTGTTAGAGGAATTGTAAGGCTAGAGAACAGACAGAGACTTTTCCACTACGTATTCTGTTCTTTTAAAATTCTGCACAATGTGTATACGTTACCAGAATTAAAAAGAGCAAAGGGAAAAGGGGGGTGGGGAGATGGATGGCTGCAAGGGAAATAGGGGATGCCTTATTTGGGGCAGTAATGATGTAAGCCTCGCAAGGTTAGTGGTGAAACCACAAGGTTGACTAGGATTGGGAAGTTTCTCTAACCTCTTGGGTAGGGAAATAATGGGAAAGTAGTCAATCTGCAAAATGGCTGAGAGTGGACATAGGCTGAACGCAAGGATGCTAAGTGGTTAGGAAACTGCAGGCCCAAAGTTACCTAGCAGTGGAAATGAGAAGAGGTTCAAATAGAACCAATTCAAATCTTCATTAAAGCCAGCCTTCCCAGACCACTCTACCCACTCCCCTCAATAATGAACTTACCTGTAACATTCAATTTTTTATTATGAAATGTCTATGACTTTTTCTGTTCCAGATAAATGGTATTTGCAGAGCTTAGCTCTTTCAACCTAAAAAAAGCAGAATTTGCTTCAGCCCCTGTGTTGTCTGGATACCTTAGTTTTTCTTAGTATTGTTTAGATAGGAGAATGAATTGCATACAATTCACAACTGCCATTCCAATCTAGAAAGCTGTTACCGGGTGGCGCCGGTGGCTCAGTGAGTAAGGTGCCAGCCCCATATGCCAGAGGTGGTGGATTCAAACCCAGCCCTGGCCAAAACTGCAAATAAATAAATAAATAAAAAGCTGTTACCTGTTTGGGTGCAGTGGCTTATGCCTGTAATCTTAGTACTCTAGAAGGCCAAAGCAGGAAGTTTTTTTTTTTTTTTTTTTTAAGAGACAGAGTCTTACTCCATCGCCCTTGGTAGAGTGCCGTGTCGGCATTGCTCATAGCAACCTCCAACTCCTGGGACCAGGCAATTCTCCTGCCTCAGCCTCCCAAGTAGCTGGAACCACAGGTGCCCACCACAATGCCTGGCTATTATTTTGTTACAGTTTGGCCAGGGCCAGGCTTGAACCCGGCACCCCACCCAGAGCCACAGGCACTGCCTAGCAGGGAGATCTCTTGAGCTCAAGAGTTCAAGACCAGTTTGAGCAAGAGTGAGACTCTGTCTCTACTAAAAATAGAAAAAAAAAATTAGCCAGGTGTTATGGCCGGTGCCTATAGTCCTAGTTACTTGGGAGGCTGAAGCAGGACCGCTTGAACTCATTGAACTCAAGAGTTTGAGGATGTTGTGAGCTAGGTTGAGGCCACAGCACTCTTGCCTTGGCAACAGAGTGCAACTCTGTTTCCAAAAAAAAGCTATTACCCAACAAAAAATAGAGAGGTCCACTCAGGCATTAAGAGTAATTTTGAGGGGTCTCTATGACAGTCTTTGGACTCAAACCACCTGCCCAAATAGTGTAGATCAGGAGATCAGGCTGCCCTGACCTCTATCACAGCCACACATCATCAGTGGCCCCCACTCTATAGAAAACCTATTACCAGTTACTAGAATCATACTTAGAAAATGCATAATCAGGCTGAGCACCTGTAGGTCAATGGTTAGGGCACTGGCCACATATACTAGGGCTGGCGGGTTCAAATCCAGCCCGGGCCAACTACAACAAAAAATTAGCAGGGCATTGTGCCAGGTGCATGTAGTCCCAGCTACTTGGGAGGCTGAGGCAAGAGAATCCCTTAAGCCCTAGAGTTTGAGATTGCTGTGAGCTGTGATGCCACAGCACTCTACTGAGGGCGACATAGTAAGACTGTCTCAAAAAGAAAGGCTCGGCATCCGTGGCTCAATGGTTATAGTGCCAGCCACATACACCAGGGCTGGTGGGTTCAAGCCCGGCCCAGACCTGCTAAACAACAACAACTACAACAACAACAAAAAAACAAAGTCAGGTGTTGTGGTAGGCACCTATAGTCCCAGCTACTCCAGAGGCTGAAGCAAGAGAATTGCTTAAGCCCAAGAATTTGAGGTTGCTGTGAGCTGTGATGCCACAGCCTTCTACGGAGGGTGACATAATGAGACTGTCGAAAGAAAGAAAGAAAGAAAGAAAGAAAGAAAGAAAAGAAAGAAAAGGAAAGAGGAAAGGGAAGGGGAAAGGGAAGGAGAAAGGGAAGGAAAAGGAAAAGGAAAGGAAAGGAAAAGGAAAGGAAAGGGGAAAGGAAAGGGAAAAGGAAAGGAAAGGGAAAGAAAAGGAAAAGGGAAAGGAAAAGGAAAGGAAAGGGAAAGGAAAAGGAAAGGGAAAGGAAAGGGAAAGGAAAAGGGAAAGGAAAGGGAAAGAAAAGAAAAGAAAAGAAAAGAAAGAGAGAAAATGCATAATCAGGCCAGGATCAGCCTATAATCCTAGCATTCTGTGAGGCCAAGGCAGATGGATTGCCTGAAGTGAGGATTTTGAGACCGGCCTGAGACCCTGTTTCTACTAAAAAAAATAGAAAAGCTAGCCAGACATTGTAGCAGGTGCCTATAGTTTCAGCTTGAGTTTGAGGTTGCTGTGAGGTAGGATGCTCTGTCACTCTCTTAGTGAAATGAAAAATGTCACTAAGCTTATGAAAACCTTGTTTTCAAACAGGACACAGAGTGAGACTCTGTCTAAAAAAGAAAAGAAAGAAAATGCATCATCACTAAAAAGAAAAATCCTTTAACAAAAATTTCAATGTTTGGATAGCCTGCAATGTTCAGACTCCCAGATAAGCACTTTTACTGTACCGCCTTTGTTAACTATTTCTGATCTTACCTTCGAGTTTAATATCTTCCAAGCAACAATAAAAATTTTTATTATTAAAATCTTCTAGAATTAGGGAAGCAATTCTTCTACAGCAGGCATCCTCAAACTACGGCTCGCGGCCTGCCTAGTACAATTATCCAGTCCGCTGGGTGTTTTTGCTGCCGCTGCCTGTGCTTAGCAGCCAACTCATCCTGGGGCCTACAGTCAGGCCCTCCAACTGTCTGAGGGACAGTGAACTGGCCCCCTGTTTAAAAAGTTTGAGGACCCCTGTTCTAGAGATTGCCTCTTATAACAGTTGTCAGGGATGGAATTACCATCTTTAGCGAGAAAGTGATACTTGATGGCTGCAAAAGATAGGAAGACAATCCCAAAGGCCGGGTGAGGGGCTCATGCCTACAATCCTAGCACTCTGGGAGGCTAAGGTGGGTGGACTGTCTGAGCTCACAGGATTGAAACCAGCCTAAGAGCCAGACCCCATCTCTAAAAAATTAGCTGGGCATTATGGTGGGCACCTGTGATTCCAGCTACTTAGGAGGCTGAGGCAAGAGAACTGCTTGAGCCCAAGAGTTAGAGGTTGCTGTAAACTATGATACGACAGCCCTCTACTGAGGGTGACAAAATGAGACTAAGAAAAAAAAAGACGACAATCCTAAGATTTTAAACTTAGGTGACTGGGAAAATTTGCTAGGTGACTCTAGCTAGGGGATGGTGGGACTGTGACATCAGATTATAAGGCAATGTATAAGCATGTGTTTTAGACATGGATACTGGTAGGAGGACATCTCAGGGAAAAACATTATATTAAAGAAGTTGCCCACACCAGGCGTGGGGGCTCACACCTGTAATCCTAGCCCTCTGGGAAGCTGAGGTGGGTAGACTGCTTGAGCTCAGGAGTTTGAGAACAGCCTGAGCATGAGCAAGACCCAGTTTCTACTAAAAATAAATAAATAAATAAATAAATAAAATAGACAAATTAGCCAGGTGTTGTGGCAGGTGCCTGTAGTCCCAGCTACTCTAGAGGCTGTGGTAAGAGGACTGGCTTGAGCCCAGGAGTTTGAGGTTGCAATGAGGTTGCTACTCTACCCTGGGCAACAAAGTAAGACTCTGTCTTAGGAAAAAAAAAAAAGAAATTGCCCAATACTGACTTTACCATAAGTCCTGTTTGATTCCCAAGAAAAGTAGAGAGACTATTACATATGTATGTGCTCCAGTTCCACTTGGTGGACCCATAATATTTTCCCAAGCCATATTCAATTATTCTATTATCTGATTTTTATAAGAATAGAGATTCAGAAGGTCATTTAAAATCATTTAATACATAAAGTGAAAAACTGTCTAGAATATAAAAGCATTTCACATTTTTAAAAACAAATTAAATTACAGGTGTAAATATCCACAATCCTTTATCTGAAACCCTTGTTTCAGATTTAGAAAATGTTCAGATTTTAGAAAGGTAATTCAGTGCATATACCATACTACATTAACTCTCAGCCTTCTACAATAAGCCTTAGCACCCCTCCTCCCAATCATCAAACACATTAATTTTTCCTGAAGCAAAATAAACAAATATTCATACTAACTGGGATAAATAAATTTTGGTGTCAGTTCAGATTAGATTTGCAAGCAAATGAGTTTTGTCCCTAAGCTTATGAAAACCTTGTTTTCAAAGCTTTTTGGATTTTGGTATTACAATCACAGATTAAAGAGTGCAGTATAAATTGCATGACAAGACACAAAAGATTATTTAAACAATTCACCCATTTTTACAAATTAAAAAAATACATGCTTTCAAATACATTATAAATTAACAGCCATCTTCTCTTTGCTATTATTAAATGTACATCTTAAATACATATACACATGTCATACTTAACATGATTTATGAAAGTCAATTGGTATTAAAGGCAGATGCACAACCCCTTCTGTAAGAACGGGATACTGTTAATGTGCAGTAAAATTAAAAACGGGATTAAGCCAACTCTTTATGATGCCGGGAAGAGAACTTATTGAGTGCAACACAAGGAGGTAGGGTTTATTCTCAAAGTACAACTTTACTTGTAAGCAGTCTCTTCCATTTAACTTACACTTAAAATGCATGTTATTTGAGGTTTTCTTCTCAACAATACTACAAATGGCCTTATGCTCAATAGTTAAAACTTTAGAAAATATTTTTGTCAGTTAAATAAGTAATGTTCTACCAAATTTAAAGACAAATGAATGACAAGGAGAGGCCCCAAAGTATCGGTGGTATTAAAACAAATATATAAAGTCCATTGACTTTTTATAAAATCTTATTGGGTCAGAGACTAAAATTACTCAAAATCACAATATTATGTTTGTAAAATCATGTTTTTCTGATCACAGTAGAAATGTAGCTTTTTTGATTACAGACATTTCTTCCACTGACGGGTGTCTGAAGAATGGTTTCAGGGGAAAAAACAAATTTCCAACACATGTAGCAGCAACTTCCATCAGTTTAGGGACACTGAATAAGTGGCAAGTCATTCTGTTAACCAACTCCAGTCAAGATTCTAAAACCAGGCATGAGAAAATTACAATTAGATGTTAAGTTAATAGGTATATGGGTATTCATTTTTGCAAGTTTCCTGTATGTTTGCACATTTTATAATCAAAAGTTGAAAATCAAAAATATAACAGTTACAATTAGAGCATTCAGTTCACTTTATTTTCTGCCAATTTCAAAAAGTTTTCATAAATATGTTTTTTATTTTTTATTTTTTATTTTTTTAATAAATATTTGAAGTAAATAATTCTTCTATTGTATTATATGGTAAAGAGACAGGGGTCTTGCAATATTGCCCAGGTTAGAGTGCAGTGGCTATTTATACTGCAGCCTTAAACTTGTGGGCTCATGCAATTTTCTTTTCTCAGCCTCCCAAGTAGCTGAGATGACAGGTGCATGCAATGATGCCCAGCTGCCATTATTCTTATTGAAAGAAGAAATACACAGAATTGACATTGATACTAACTGCAATAAAAATTAATTCAGTAAACATTTTATTGTCATTTTTCCAAATTTTAACAAATCCATAGTTTACAGTAACCAAATCATAATCTGAGCATTTTTATTGTTACAACTATATTAATAATTCATACTATATGCGGCAAGAATTGAAGTACAAGTTTTATCTTATTGGAGAAAATTGATTGCTAAAGCAAAAAGGCACAAACCATTCAATTTCAGAGGCATATTGTGAAGAAAGCTTACCACTCATTTAATTTGACCAAAAATGCTATTGTTGAAGATTATTGATGACATAATCCTAGTATATCCCTGAGTAACAGAAGATAGGGATTTGAGGTTAAAGATATTCCTCAAATGCTCTTTCCTCTGAGTTCTATTCCCCATCCTGTACCCCAAATGCCAGATAAGGCTGGCATGGACAGTTAAACCATTCGTACCCAACATCAAGACAAAACTTACCATCATACTACTGCCACGTTCCTCATTTGCTTCACGAATAATAGTGCTTACACGGCCAAGATAGTTCAAATTTTCTTTTATCATTTGTGCTAAAGTCTCCCTGTGAAATGGAAGAACAAAGTCTTCTCAGATTCAGCAAAGAGGCCATATGAATTTCCTCTCTTTCTGCAGAGGATGATCATTGCCGTTCTGTAACGTAGCACAACAACGTAGGTAATTCCTAGTCTTCAGTGTCCATATCCCTCCCTCCAGAGGCAGAGTCCTGATTAGTACAAGTTGCTGCCTCTGCCTAACTCTAATGATAAGAAGTCCATTTTAACTACTATCTGAATTCCCTCTGAAATGTAAGTGGCACTTAAATACAAGTCCCTCACACCCCTGAAAATGCTAACTGGGGGCGGGGGATATCTTTGTGGCATAGACAGATGAAAGATCTCTTTTTGTTTTTGGAATATTTCCCTTTCCTTGCAAGTAGTAAAAACAGCAGCATGCTCACTGACACAAATGCAAAGGAAGAAGATACAAAAGTAAACCTGTTCTGCAGAAAACAGGGAAGGTGAAAAACTTGACTGGAAACTACTGGTGATAGCAATGAAGAGGAAAACAAGCAAGCAGATTCCAAAAGACAACAGAAGAAAATTATGATGGGGGAGCTGCCCAGAACCAAGAAGTATCCCTGGAAGTTTGTATTTGAAGGAAATCCTGATTCTGGTTTCTACCCTCATACTTTCATCTTTCATATGGTCTCCGTCTTCACCCTTTAGAAACCCTCAGTCCCCTACTAAAGTCAGTTCTACACCATGGATGCTGGCCAGTAGAATTTAGAGCTAAATTTTGGTTCAGCTCATATCTAACACATGGAAAAACTGAGGCAAACAGTTCCCAGTCCTTGGTAGTTTAGTACCACAGGTACATTATAATTGAAATCAGTTTTCCTTTATAATGTATTCCTATTACAAAAGATATTTAAATTACTTGTCAGATATACTTTTGCAAACAACTACAACCTCAAGTTGGAAATTACTTGTATAGAAGTGACACTTGCAACCAACAGCATCCCCTAACAAAACAAAATTCTTTTAATAAAAGCAAAAGGTAAGTAATGTGTTAAATTTTACTTCCTTCAACTCTCATTAAAAGAATGCTTCCTAAAACCTATATAACTAATTACAGCCTATGCTATATTATGGATGTACTGCATTGGGCCACATCTATAATGACCCCAAGATATACTTTGGAACTTGCTTTCTTTAAAAAAATGAAATACCTGATATCAGCTTGCCTTCCTGCCATGTGCTTTTCTTTCATAAAAGCAGAGCACAGAATGTGCAGCTGCATGATCTCCTGAGCAGTGATGTAACATTGCTGCACTTCTGCAAAACTAATTATGGGCAGAGCTTCCAGGAAATGCTGGTGCTGTAGAGGTCTCCATGAGTTGTGAGAAAAGTGACAATACACAAGCTAGCAAAGAGCCACAGGCTCTGGAGACGGCAAACCTTATGCTGAGAAAATAACAGAAATGGATAGTCATTCAGCTTTTAGCAGAGAGTAGGAGTTAATAAAAGAAAATAAAGGTTTCAAACTTGAGTTTATTTGCAAGACTATTTTAAGGCATGGAAAAATGTAGAAAATACTAAGTTATAAAATTTATCTGAATAATTTATTTAAAGGGCAATCAAGGATACCAAAATGATAAATGCAAAAAGATAGCATAATTTTTCAGAGATAAAAGGTTTGGGTAAAAGAAAGTGATAAGCCAATAACAGAAAAGACTTAGAACTTGGATTGAGCTAATAATAATATTTAACATCTGTTGAACATTTACTTCCCAAGCCTTCTACATGCACTATCTAATCAAATTCTCACAGCAGTTCTATGAGACATTCTTATTTTACAGGAGAGGAAATACAAACACAAAAAAAGTCAAGTAAGTTGTCCAAGGTTATTACAAAAGGATAGTCAAGACTGAACTCTGCTCTGAAGGCACCAATGACTACCTTAATCATTACTACCTCATTCCTCTCACTGCTCTGAAAACACAACTATCTATTGTTACAAAGTGAACCCACCCATCTTGAGGAGTTACCACGCATGACAGAGAATGTTCACGTTCTGCTGAAGTTGGGGGCAGCCATGCTGATGCTTGGGGGGTTTCGGCACTTTCTAGACTGGACCCTACTAGGGACCGTGCAGAACTCTGTGTCTGAAGGAAAAAAAAAAAGATGATGAGCCAGCACCTCTGGTGATTCATTCAATTTCTTACCATATTCCTAAGATTTACATTTCTATCACAGAGTATTTCTGTGCAAAATTATTCTCACCTTTTGTATACTAGTAATCATCCTGTCCTCGGTCCCTTTCTTCATTGACTAAAACCAAATGTATGCACCTTGCTACTACCACTTTAGTTAGAGAAAGAAAAAAACTCTGTGGAACAAAGAGTTGGTTTCATTAACTGGTCAGGCACATCTATGTCTGAGTTGGGCTGGGATATCACAGTGGTCCACAGTAAAGAGAGCATAAAAACAGGAAAGGAAAGATGATAACCAAGTCCTGCATCTCAGCTGCGAGTCTGACTTCAAGGCAGGAACACAGGTACCAACCCAACATAAAATAGACATCCACAAAAGGGGCTAGCTCATGCTGATAAAAATCCCTTTTCCAAGGAGTAATAGCAACATACTGTTACATTAAATAATTAATTATTACTCACACAAGCAATTTTAAGGAGATGCCATATTTCTTTCTGCCTCTTTCCCTGCATAAACATGACAGTATTGTCAGCTTCTTTGATGTTACTGAGGGCCACTTCCACCTTGGGGAGTAGGTCAATAATCTTCTGCTTACAGCCCAACAACTTGCTGGAGAAATAAAATCTGTGTCAGATATTTATACATCCCCCAAGACGGTATACCATACTTCCAAACCCAGCTTGAGAAATGAATTACAATCAGCAGCAGAGTTAATGACTGATCTCCAAAGTACTGCAAACAAACAGGACATATAAATGCAATCCTATGGCCAAACTACCCATACTACTGCCAGAACTCTTCCTGGATCCAGTATGTTTATCAAAGAGGGGTATTATACTTTGAAAGGAACATGATAAAAGTATCCTGGCTTTTTGGTAGGAAATAAAGCAATTTTTTTTTACCTCAGATGACCAAACAGCTCTTTGAGAACACGATCCTGACTCTGCACAGTATGCACAATGATCTTCACCATCTCTGTGCTGTCGCTGTAGGAGTGATCTATAAAAGACATTAGTCAGTGGGTATAACCTCTCTTCTGCATAACCATATTTGCTTCCAAACAAAAAAATTCTTTAAAATCTGAAACTAGTTTTAATTAATAAGCACCTCCATTTAAATTAAAAATTAGACTAAGATTTAAAGATTACTCATAAACAAATTCCAGTAATATATCAAAAAAATAAAGTTATGTGTGTGTATATAACATTAATATAAATTTATCACTGTGTCTTTAGACACCTTAGCTTCTGTGCTTGAGAAGAACAGTCTGTCTTGAACTTACACTAATCCAAGCCCCAGACCAATATGCAGTCTCTGCCCAAGAGATCAATTTTTCTTGAATGGTTAACCACTTATTTAAAAACAGTGGGACAGTTCATCAAACTTTCACTGACTAGAGGAAGAAGGACCTTGCCATAACTAGGTTGCTTAGAATTTCACGTTTTATTAATCAGTGTATAGCTCATAAAAACTTTGAAAAAGCTGACTGACTTAAACCAAATGTGATACACTAATAAAGGAACCTGCAAACACCCTGAAAGCTTGGTTTGAGGGTTAATATAGCATCTTAAAGCCAACTAGATGACAGATGTCCTCAAATAGGATGGTTCTGGATCAGTGAGTTCTATAGTTCAATTGATGAGATGCTACCTTAATTTTAAAAAATTACTGTCATTTTATATTTCAGAAAATAGCTAAGTTTAAGAGTTCAAAGTTGCTAATGCATCATACTGGTATTTTCTCTGGACAATAATTAAGCCTAAATGCAATAATATCAGTAGTATTTGGTACCACTTGTTTATATTTTTTTCATTTAATCCTCATAGCAGCTGTTTGAGATGGCTACTTTTGTTACCCCCATTTTACCAAAAAGGAAACTTTGAGATTGGTGTCAAGGAGGTTTAAAAAGTGTCTCTGTTATCATCACTCCAAAGACCTCCTCCATGACCCAACTTTATTCTCCACACATTTGTCTTTTCCTCACCAACACCCAAATACGAGGCCCCAAAAATGTTCCTTTCCAAACAGCACTACTTCCCACTGACCAAGCCCAAGAGCTTTAATGTATAACTAGCTCTTTTAAATGGTCAAAGACTTCAAAAAAAGTTAGTTTTCACCATTTTTCAGTTGAACAGAGTCTCAAGTCAACTCTAAGCTAAAAACAAAGGCCATAAATGAAGTGTGATTATATATTAAGCCTCAATCCTAGACCAGACTTAATATAAGTAGTTTGTCATTCAAGGTGACTTATCAGTTCAAAGAAGGTACTTAGCTAGCAAATTCATTTCTGGGGCCCATGACATGATATGTTGATATGCTGACAGGGCTAGTAGAAAGCTTTCATAAAAATAAGCTAAACTAATGTGGAAAATTAATTTGACTGAGTCAATGAATATGATTTTATGTCTCTTCATCTGCAATTCATTTGCCAAAAAACTAGGAGTCATGAATATTGGTTAAAGGAAAAATAGTAAAATAAGAAAGAATTGGACTTGCTCTATTTTAAATCTTAAATTTTAAGGTTAACTCTAATTACAACTTTTTTCACTTAAAACACTAATTTGTTAATATCTTCAACGTTTTTGTCCTCTTATTCTTTTTTTTTTTTGAGACAGAGCCTCAAGCTGTCCCCCTGGGTAGAGTGCGGTGGCATCACAGCTCACAGCAACCTCCACCTCCTGGGCTCATGTGAGTCTCCTGCCTAAGCCTCCCAAGCAGTTGGGACCACAGGTGCCCACCACAACACCCAGCTATTTTTTGGTTGCAGCCGTCATTGTTGCTTGGCGGGCCCAGGCTAGATTCAAACCCGCCACCTCAGGTGCATGTGGCTGGCGCCCTAGCCACCCGAGCCACAGGAGCCGAGCCTGTCCTCTTATTCTTATTCCATCAGCAAAATTCCAGCCCTGGATCAATCCAACCATCTGCTGTATCAATTTCTGTATTTAAACTACTCAACTATCAACAAAATAATATTCACTCTAGTGTCGTTGCTGATTCATATATTTTCACTTCTGTTCTTGATTCTTAATATAGTTCTGGGTCAGCAACATCTTCCATTGAACTTACTGCCTTTTAAAAGTCTTTAGCATACTGCTAAGACCTTTGAGGTCATCATTTCTTCTATTACAGTTCACTTCACTTCCTACTTCAAGACAGAAGGCCATAAGGCAGTAAGACCCTGAGTTTTCAATCTCTCACAAAAGCATCTGGATTCATACCCCGTCTCCCTCCAATATCAGTAGCATCAAAGTGAATCCCTCCCAATATTCTCTGGAGCTAACCTCTCAATTTATTTAGGGACCTTCCTCTCCACAGGCTTTTGGCCCCAGGCATATAAACACAGTCAGGTGAGGATATATCCTGAGAAATGCATCACTGCACAATTTCATCATTGTGCAAACATCACAGAGTGTACTTACATAAACTTAGATGGTATAGCCTATTACATACATTAGGGTATATGGTATAGACAGACTATAAATCCTAGGCTATAAACCTGTACAGCACGTGACTATACTGAATACTGTAGGCAACTATAATACAATGATAGGTATTTGCATATCCAAACATAGAAAACATGCAGCAAAAATATCATATTATAATCTTATGGGACCACTGTTGTATATGCAGTTCATCAACGACCTAAATGTCACTATGAGGTACACGACTAGTATGCTCAAGTCTTCCTTCTGAAAAGTGACCTCCCTAATTCTACATCTCCTTTTGGCTACTTATTTACCTCACTTTTTTCATTAGCAGCCAAGCTTCTGAAAATAATCTAGATAAGCAGTTTTCAAACTTTTTGGTCTTGGGACTCATTTACACTCAAAAATTCTTATGAACTCCAAAGAGTTTTTAAGGAATTAAAACAGAAATTGAAAAATATTTGTACATTAATTCATTTTAAATAACTAAAAATCTACTGTCCATTAACATGGACAGCTGTTACCCTGGGTAGAGTGCCATGGCATCACAGTTCACAGCAACCTTCAACTCCTGGGCTCAGATGATTCTCCTGCCTCCACCTCCCAAGTAGCTGGGACCACAGGCGCCAGCCACAACTCCCGGCTATCTTTTGGTTGCAGCCGTCGTTGTTTGGCAGGCTGGATTCAAACCCACCAGCTCAAGTGTATGTGGCTGGTGCCTTAGCCGCTGGAGCCACATGTGCCAAGCCAGTCCCTTAACATTTTTATTAAAAATAGCTATGTTTATGTAGGCATGGTGGCCCACACCTTAGTCCCATTACTCAGAAGGCTGAGGCAAGATGACTGAGCTCAGGAGTCTGAGTCCAGCCTGGGCAACACAGTGAGATCACATCTCTTTAAAAAAAACCCAAACTGGGCTCGGCGCCTGTGGCTCGACTGGCTAGGGCGCCAGCCACGTACACCTAAGGTGGCGAGTTCGAATCCCCAGCCCGGACCCGCCAAACAACAATGACGGCTGCATCCAAAAAATGGCCGGGCGTTGTGGCGGGCGCCTGTAGTCCCAGCTACTTGGGAGGCTGAGGCAGAAGACTCGCTTGAGTCCAGGAGTTGGAGGTTGCTGTGAGCTGTAATGCCATGGCACTCTACCCAGAGGGACAGCTTGAGGCTCTGTCTCAAAAAAAAAAAAACAAAAAACCCAAACTGTATTTTCTAAAACAAAAAAGTTTTAGTGAGAAAACTCATACTGTTTTACATTTTTGTAAATCTTTTTCATATTACTACTGATCTTATCAGAAAATAAGTGTTGAGAAACTGACAAATTTCAGTTGGTAGATACAAGTTTCCTAAAATTCTAAGTTTTTCCCTGAAATATAGAATTTTATCACTGACAACAAATAATGTTTTCCTCTTTAACAAATGCATGTCACTTTTTATTTTCACTTACTTTCTGAGAATACATCTTTGCATATACAAATCTGGATAACCATAGTTTGCCTGACAGCTGTTCTTTCAAGTAAAAAATGGTATTCTATGCAAAAAAGAGGCCAGTCAGCTAGCAATATAAACAGTTACTGAAGTGAGTTTAGGACAGCCATCATACTCCACTGTATAGCAGAAATACTTTATGAATACTTTCCATTCCACCATATAGTACAGACATATTTTTTTAGAGACAGGTCTTACTCATCTGTCACTTAGGATGGCTGGTAGTGGTGCCATGATAACTCACTGTAGCTTTGAACTCTAGGCTCAAGGGATCCTCCTACCTCAGCCTCCAGAGCAACACCTGGCTAATTTTTTAAGAACTTTTTTTGTAGAGACAGGGTCTCACTATGTTGCCCAAACTGGTGTCAAACCCCTGGGCTCAAAGTATCCTCCTGCTTTGGCCTCCTTAAAGTGTTAGATCATAGGCATGAGTCATTGCACCTGGCCAATCACACAGAATGTTAAAAAGACATTTTGCAACGTCATCAATGATATCCAAACTAAGTCCAATGAATACATGCATTTTTTATCATCTTCATTATCCACACCTCTGTAGCATTTCACCTGATTGATCACTTTTGCCTTGAAACTCTGTCCCATTTCTATCCTACCACTCCTTCTACATATTCTAGCCATTTCTCAATCTTTGCAGTCTATTCTACTTTACCCATTTTATAAATGTTGGTATTATTTAGGATTCCAACCATGGTTTTCTTACTAAATCTGATTTTTCAGGATGATCTCTTTTGGTGGATTACTCTCAAAATAGCTAAATATCTAGCCCTTCCACTAAATCTATATACATCTGTACCCACATATACATGTAAAACTATCTATTATATATGTCTATTTGAATGTTTTACTGACCCCTTAATAATAACACATACACAAACAAACTCATCTTATTTTCCCATCAAGTCTTTTCCTATCATGATGAATGGTTCTATAGTGTACCTAGCTGCCCTAGCCAAAAGCCTGGGAGGCAGCTATGACTCTCACTCAACCCCCAGCCATCCATACTGAATCTATCACCTACCACTATCAGTTCTATAACCCAAATAGCTCTCTTGCCCTTATCCTCCTCTTCACTTCACTGCCACAGTTCATGTTCTCTGTCTTAGTTCATAGCCCACTTTGTGCTGAACTGTGATTATTCCAACAACCTCACAACCTCTGCCTGTCCCTAGCCAAGCCACACTTTAATCTATTATCCACAAGGCCACCAGCAGTGTTTCTTAAATGTTTATCCAATCATGCCATTCCCTGATTAAAATGTTTTTAGGGTTCCCCTTTGTCAGCATGATGTACCAAAGGCAATCTCTCCTCCTCAAACTCTACACTACAGTCACACTGTATTTCCTCAGATACGCAAAGTGCTACATATACATATCTTTGCATATGATACTCATGTATACAAAAGCCCACCTCCTTTCACCTGGTTACTACTACTTACTCTTTAAGGCTTGTCTCACATGTCATCCCCCGCAGGAAAATGCTAAGCATCCCTGGCCCCTAGTTAGGATTAGGTGCCTCTCATACGTACTTCATAAATGTTTAGAGAATTAAAATGAATAAATTCCAGTATAATAAAAACAGTATAAGAACAGCTTGGCACCTGTAGACAGTGGTTACAGCACCAGCCACATGTACCGAGGCTGGCGAGTTTGAACCCCACCAGGGTCTGCTAAACAACAATAACAACAACAACAACAAAAATAGCTGGGCATTGTGGCAGGTGCCCATAGTATCTGCTACTGGGGAGGCTGAGGCAAGAGAAGTGCTTAAGCCCAAGAGTTTGAGGTTGCTGTGAGCTGTGATGCTATGGCATTCTACCGAGGGTGACATAGTGAGACTCTTTCTCAAAAAAAAAAAACAAAAACAAAAACATAAAAAAGTATAAGAAGAGATCATGTTATTTTTTAGATGTGTGAAAACTGTGAAATACAATTTCACATGTTCATTAATTTGCATGCATTGCTATGTGTTTGCAATTTTTCTTTCCTTTTTGAGAGACATGGTCTTGCTCTGTCACTAAGACTAGAGTGCAGTGGTATTATCATAAATCACTGCAGCCTAAACCTCCTGTGTTCAAGCAGTCCTCTTGCCTCAGTAACCTGAATAGTATGCCACAATGCCCAGCTAGTTAAAAAAAATATACATATATTTTTTGGCCGGGGCCTGGTTTGAACCCACCACCTCCGGTATATGGGGCTGGTGCCCTACTCCTTTTAAGAGATAGGGATCTTGCTATGTTGCCCAGGATGTTCTCTAACTTGTGGCATCAAGTCATCCTCCCACTTTGTCCTCCCAAACAGCTAGGATTACAGGCACGGCCACTGTGTGTAGCCTAGTTGCAAATTTAAGTGTGAAACATTTCTCTAACTCTCTCTCTTTTTAAATAATTTGACTGTATTGCATATTAGGGCTTAGACTTTTTTTATTTCTTCTGTAACACTCAAAACAAATTTTTAACTAAATGATAATATCTTGCAGTTTTCAAAGTATTTTCCAAACATCTTCTCAACATTGTTTCAACATATTCACTGAGTAGGAAAGCTAGGTTTCAACTCCATTTTACAGAAGAGAGAAATAAGAAACAGGGATATTTGTCTGAGATAACTTGGTCAGTAAAGCATTCACAGGCCTTCGCTCCAACTGCTCTATTCGTAAAACCCACTGTATCAATTTCTTTCTAACCTTTCTAATGTAATATTAAGCAGTCCTCATTTTTTTCCATCTTTCCACACATTTTCTTGCTTCCTCTTGCTATTGAGTTCCTTTTTCACTTTTCCATTCCTTCTTTTTATTTCCCTTTAAAAACTGTTTTTACCTCACTTTCTTTATTACTTTCCTCTTCAAATCTCTTAAATTCTCACAAACTTAAAGCTATTATACCATAAATGTATCAATGGCAATACAAAAACTGGAATTTATTCTGCAGCTTTTAAAATATTTTAAATTTAAATTCCCTGGAATTTGTTAAGCTAGTGATAGTTTCCTAAAATGCCTTCAAATACTGTGAAAGAAGTATCTTACCTGAAGGTCTGTGCTTTAACTGCTTATAAAGATCAATGGCTCGTTGTTCCCTACAAAAGAGAAAACATGCTTCTGTACCTGATGGTACTTTAATGACTCCAATAATCCACAACTTCAAATGAACAAAACATTGACTATTTGGATGAATGACCACATTTTAAAGCAAGTAAATATTACCAATGAATATTTTACAGAGCATGTTATTAATATAGTTCTAAATTCTTAAAATGCAAAGTTATCTGCTTTGATCTATCATTAAGTATAATACTCTTGCACTAGAAAACAAGCAAAAATTATGGCCTATGATTAGACAAAAAAACTTAAGTTTCTAGTCCATTTAGGAAGTTAACCTCACTTAGGACACTTAAGAGGCCATACCTTGGACCAGAAGTATGGTAAGTAGGGAAATAATTTGTAAGTTATATATACTTGGAAAATTCTTAATACAAACATGGAAAAGATGCTTTTAATAAAAACCAAAAAAGGTCAACCCAAAGAGTAATTTCCAAAATCTCCTGTGAGTAAAAAAATGTTTCTATTTTAAATATAATGCCAATGTATTTGGAGAGGTTTAATCTGTCACATGTAAGCAGGAAGAATAATCTGCTACAAAATGTAGCAGACATTAAGATCAATAAGGGGGGGGTATATCCTTACAGAGATTCCATCAAGTCTCCCTGGCGTCTTCCATAGGGGCTCTTTTGCAGCTCCATGATTTCAGTGTGCAAGGACATAATCTGATCCTCCAGGTATCCAATGACACCAACCTAAAATATGATGAAAACACAAAGGAAACGACAGACTTGCCAACATCTAATAGGAAATAAGATTTAGATCCTAAGGATAAAGAAAGACTTGGTGCTGTAGTAGAACTAAGTAATATAATATAAAACACTAATTTTGATAAATCCTTTTCATTCTTCAGATTGACAGTTTTTCACATAAGAATATACTTATTCCTATGCTTCTCTCTTTTCTCTCCTCACAACTAGCACTTTTGCTTTTTTCTCTGGAAAAACAAAAAAGGTGAAGGTGTCACTAACAAGACAGAAAAAGTGGCCAACAAACCCACTGGTATTACTTGCATCTCAGCTCTCTGATTTTCATTGCCTCTTATTGTGGCCTGCCTTGAATAAGGACACACAGAAAAATAAAGATGCTGGATTTCAACTGCAGGATACCAACAGCCTCAAACACATCTTTGATAAGTACTGGCATCAAGGAAAGTAATAATCTTGAACCATGGACAAATGCACAGGACAAATATCTACCACCTAGAGAATTATCTATACCTAGGGAGACCATATAATTTATTGTCCAAAACCAGCATAATTTTGAGAGTAAAACAGAGTAGTATTGGTAATTATGGCAAGATATCAGGTGTGAACTGGAACTGTCCCAAGTAAATCAGATGTGCAGTCATCTTATTTAAGCCAATCACAAAAATAATAGCAATAACTGCTACTGATTAATTCCCATTTAATTTTCAAAACTCTACTAGGAAAGGTGCTGTCCTCATAATACAAAAGGAAACAAAATCTCAGCAAAGCTAAGTAATTTGCCCAAAGCTCTTGTTTTTATTGCTATGATACCTCCCTATACTTACAAAAAGCATCTACTAGGATTTTGTCTAGAACTCAGAAATGACATGAAAAATATTCTTTGCATACCCAAACCAAAAGTAGTTTCTAAGGGAGACATCAAAAATTAATAAGCACAAAGAATGAGGCCAGTGGTTTTACCTCAGCGTAGTGAATGGCCTTTTCTTCCATTTCTTTCCATGCTTTTAGCATTTTTTCTGAAGCTGAAAAAAAAAAGAGTCTAAATTGGTAACCTCAGAAATAGCTGCAGCTTTAATTACTGTTTCCTTGGCATAGCAACATCAAAGAGATGTGTTATGGATTGAATTGTGTCCTCCTTAAACATATGTTAAAGTCCTAACCTTCAATATGTGAAAATATGACCTTATTTGGAAATAGGATCATTATAATTACTAAATTAATAGTTATACCAGAGTCAAGTGAACCTTTAATCCAATGTGACTAGTATGATTAATGTCCTTATAAGAAAAAAAGAGACAAAGGATACAGACACGCAGGAGGAACATGCTATGTGACAATAAAGACAGAGATAAAAGTGCTACAGCTGTGAGCCAAGGAACACCAAGGACTGCTAGCAAACAACAAGAATCTAGGAAGAAGCAAGGATCAATTCTTCCTCACAGGTTTCTGAGGAAATGTGGCCCTGCCAACACCTTGATTGTGGACTTTTAGCCCCCAGAACTGCAAGGCAATAAATTTCTGCTGTTTCAAGCCACCTAGTTTATGGTATTTTGTTATAGAAGCCTTAGAAAACTACTATAGATGATTTTCTCTTTACAAATACATATATAGGATTTTCTTTTTTTTTTTTTTTGAGATAGAGCCTCAAGCTATTCCCCTGGGTAGAGTGCAGCGGCATCACAGCTCACAGCAACCTCCAACTCCTGGGCTCAAGTGAGTCTCCTGCCTCCGCCTCCCAAGTAGCTGGGACCCCAGGTGCCTACCACAACATCCGGCTATTTTTTGGTTATAGCCGTCACTGTTGTTTGGTGGGCCCGGGCTGGATTCGAACCCGCCACCTTAGGTGTATGTGGCTGGTGCCTTAGCCACTTGAGCCACAGGTGCCGAGCTGATAGGATTTTTTTAAAAAACCCAAACATTATAAAAGGATATAAAAAGAAAATACTCTCTGTTCCTTCCCTTCACTTCAAGGAATCTTACTAGCATTATTTGTTATATAGACCCTATTCCCTCCCAAGTGAGACCAACTATATATTCTTTTCTTTTTTTCTCCCACAACTTAAACATTGCTGTTAATTAAAGACCCAGGAGATCTTTCAACATTAGCACATACACATTTACCTCATTCTAAGCTGTATAGTATGCCTTTGAGAAGTGAAAAGATATTCTAATGAAATAATGTTTTATCATTCACTAGAATGCCTGTAATACACAAATAATACCAAGGTATGGGTAGACTCAGTGTCTGGTGAGGGACTGCTTTCTGGTTCATAGAAGGCTATCTTCTCACAATGTCTTCACATGAAGAAGGGGTGAGGGGTCTCATGCAGGCCTCTTTTACCAAGAGGCTAATCTCAAATATGAAAGCTCCACCCAGGCTGGATGTGGTGGCTCATGCCTGTAATCCTAGCACTCTAGGAGGCCAAGGTAGGTGGATTGCCTGAGGTCACAGGTTCAAGACCAGCCCAAGCAAGAAAAAAATCCCATCTCTTAAAAAAAAAAGAAAATAGCTAGGCGTTGTGGCAGGCACCTGTAGTCCCAGCTACTTGGGAGGCTGAGGCAAGAGAACTGCTTGAACCCGAGTTTGAGGTTGCTGTGAGCTGTGACACCACAGCACTCTATTGAAGGTGACAAAAGTGAGACTCTGTCTCAAAGAAAAAAAAGAAAGAAAGAAAGCTCTATCCTCATGACTTAATCACCTCCCAAAGGCTCCACCTCTTAATACTATGACCTTGGAGGTCAGGTTTTCAACATATGAATTTTGGGGGGCACACAAAAGTTCAGTCCCTATCATTGGTTAAGAAGTCACCCCAGTACAGATTTTGAATATATTTTAATAATGAGGTTTGAAATTCACAGATGATTAAATCCCTCTATACTTTTCTGGAGCTATATAATTTTAATCTAATTACAAAACTAAGTGGCTCAAGTAAAAGATTAAAAAAAAGAGCTAATATTGAAAACAAACAGGTTTATGATAATTCAAGTTCTCTTGTCTCTTATTCTAATGTGAAGGTATGTGAAACAACTTGCTATGAGTCAAGAAGGCAAAATAGCAGATGGTTTCAAGAGACTAGACAATTTTAAAAAATACATTACCCAAACACTTACATATCCCATAAGTCATCTGCTCACTATATCTCTCCAAGTCAAGCTGAATGCTTTTGTGAAAAAATTCCAATTTAGCTTTCAGTTGCTGTGATGCTGAGATCAAAGTATTCTTCATTTTTGTCAAATTAGCATTATATCTAAGCAGACTTAACCTAAACCATAGTAATTAAATAAATAAAGATATAAACATTATTAGCATTCAGAAACACTGGACAATAATTAAAAATATAAATGCCATAAACCCAAAATTTAAGTTTCTATTATCAATCCTGAAGTAGCTGATCTCTAGAATCTCGTCTCTAAAGACTTCCTGCCTGTGTTAGTCCATGATAAATAATCTTCTTAAACTAGTATTCAAGAACTACTATTCTTGAGCTATTGCAATTGGAGAGTTTTAGACCATTACTAAGAATTGTACAAGTCTAATCAGAATATTACCAAATTGGCCCATTTCTTTCATGCAAGGGTAGCACCACTGATTAATGAAACACTGCAACATTGATTAATGAAAACTGGTAAGATTAACTATTGAGTATATGATGCAGATTACATTGGGCTTATAAAAAACTGAATACATGGCTCAGTGCCTGTGGCTCAAATGGCTAAGGGGCCAGCCACATACACCTGAACTGGTGGGTTCGAATCCAGCCCAGGCCTGCCAAACAATGACGGCTGCAGCTAAAAAATAGCCAGGCCTTGTGGTGGATGCCTGTAGTCCCAGCTACTTGGGAGGCAGAGGCAAGAGACTCGCTTGAGCCCAGGAATTGGAGGTTGCTGTGAGCTGTGATGCCATTGCACTCTACCCAGGGCAACAGCTTGAGGCTCTGTCTCAAAAAAAAAAAAACAAAACTGAATACATTGTGCTTATAAACAATGGAATCCACTTACATTGCTGCTCTTTGTCCTTGAAAGAGCCTGCTATAGTCTTCTTTTAGCCCAGACACATAGTGCACGGCTTCAGCCCATACTTTACGCAGCTGTATAATTGGAAGTTGTATTTTGCTGTCCTGTACTATATGCAAGAAAATGAGAAAAAAGAAAGGGGAATTATTATTGTTATTTTTGAGACAGTCTCAAGCTGTCACCCTGGGTAGAGTGCCGTGGCATCACAGCTCACAGTAACCTCAAACTCTTGGATTTAAGTGATTCTCTTGCCTCAGCCTCCCAAGTAGCTGGGAC